ATATATATTTGCTATTGAGTTAATTAAGGTTGCAGAGGGATATTTTTTTTCTTAATAATCTTGCTATAATTACAAGGCGTACCCGCTGTCAAATGCTCCTCTCTGTATCACGACCACACACTTTTTAGTATTGCAGGTTTTGTTCCGGAATTCCAGGGATTTTCTCAAACAATTGTCGTATAATGGAAGATCGCATCACTCTCACCATACTTCTCTTTCTCTGAATCCTTGCTGTTCTTCTTTCACTCCATTCACCGGTTCTTCTACTATACTCGTCGTCGATACTCCGTTCTCTCTCTCTCTACGTTTACAGCGTTGTATTCAGAAGGGTTAATTCCCCATAACAATTTGTTTGGGGTCTAACTTGCCTTTTTTTAAAAAAGGGGGATAGAATGCTCCATTTTCCTTCCTCTGTGTATTCTTACTCTGCCTTATATGTTTGTATCAGTTTTACTAATTCTTTTATGTATGATTGCCCGCCGTATTCTTATATAGTTCGTTTATATATGGCATCCCGTTTGTCTCTCTGGGTATTTTTTTAATTTGGGTACGTTTGTAAATAATCTGTTCTTGTGATCTCATAATCTTTGTGTAATCTGTTCGGCTAATATCAATACTGGAGGCCTCGTTATTGTGAATAGCTTACTAAAATAATTCACCCATTCCGTGTTACTGATTTTTGTTGTGCTTATCAAACTCATTTGTTTCAGGCGTGTTATTTCTTATGAAACGCCATAATCTGTTTTTGCTCTCTATTGTGCCGTAAAAGTCGGGTTCCATTCTTGCAGTAAAATGATTACTAAATAATTTTGGTTTTATTTTGCCTGATCTTTTATATTTACTTGATTTCTTATAAGTTTGTATTCTTCCATAGTCTTGTAATAATTTAGACTGTTTGTATTTTAAGAAATGCTTGGAGTTTCTCCTAGTTATTTCTTTAACCCTCTTTCTGTATACCATGGTAATACTTCCGCCTTTGTTTCTGTTGACTTTTTCTGTTATTTCTCTTCTAATGCTTCTCCGCTGACTTGAGTTATTAGTTTTTATTTTTTCCCAAGGCTGTCCCTCAAATATGCATCTTCTCTAATTTCCGTTGTTATTGATTCTTTCGTCTAAGCGTCTCTCTTATAAAGTTTTTATGTTACCACACCTTGAAGGGGTTGGATATTAATTTTTGAAATTGTATCCTTGGGTAATTGTTTTTTTCCCGTTTAAGTGGTCGTTTTTAATTTGGCTAGCACCAGAATTATGGTCACTTCATAGTCTGCCGCTTGTTAGCTTCTTATATGTAAGATGTTTGATGGGTGACACATTCTATTCTTATCACATAACTATTATGGTTTGGTGTCCTCTATTATTTTCGCCCATGTGTATTTAATGTTGATCCTCTTGTGATCGATAGAAGGTATTATTTAATTCTTAATTCATTATCCAAGCATACTCGATGAGCAGTTCTTCCATTTTCATTTAGGTGCTTTCGGTTAATCTTTTTTTTATGCCAGGGATAAGTCATTTCAATTCTTGCGTTAAAGTCGGCCTGCTATTATAGTTGTCTCCTCTGGATTTGTCTGGTGTATTAACTTCTTGTAGGTTCTCGTAGAACGTTTGTCTTTCGTGTGTAGGCTTGTTATTTTCAGGAGCATAGACTGAGATTATGTTTATTGGTTTTGTTTCAGATCTTAATTAATTGTAACAATTCTTTCTGATATGTACTTGTAGCCTTATCGAGATTACGGCCTGTATTATCTTATCGAGATGTTTATTGTTTATTATGATTGCTGCTCCTTCCTTTTCTCTTGAGAATTTTTGTACTCCACTATAGATAAGTGTGTAATTATTTAGTTGTGTTATACCTCTACCTGTTTTTT